TATAATCCACCTGGATACAATATGTAGTTGTGATGATATGTACGGATTTACTAACACAGGTCAAAGTTGCAAAATAATAAGAAGAAATAGCTTACAAAATGTAACACCCTCCCATCAGCTAATTTGGGAAAGGCGCGCTTCTGAGCTAGAATTGAAAATAAACCTGACACCTAGCGCTTTAGATTTTATATTTTAGTATCGTGTTTTTTCTAAGTTTACTCAATCAAAAATAATTACCGGTGATGTGGCATTTAAACTGTGGTACTATAAAAAAAAGATTTGGGTCTGTTACTTCTAAATTAGACTTTCTGAATTCCACACTTTACACGAGGTGAAATATTGCTATTAAAGGCTTGAAAACTAAAATAATTTAAAATGTAAATTGTTATTACAAGTTGTTTTTTCATCTTTTCTGAAATTTTTTTTATTGTAATAAGAATATTACAGAAATTGACAAATCAGAAAAATAAATAACATCTCAGAGTTGTAATACTGTATTTACACTAAAGACCTGAGAACTAACATCTCAAAGTTAAAACATTGTTACTGAAGACCTGAAAACTTAAATATTTTAAATTGTGATTTGCTCTTAAAATCCTATTCTTTATATTTCTTTAAATTGTTTTATTTTAATAAGAGTGTTAATTGAAAAATCAGAAAAAGAAATAACATTTCAGCGTGAAATATTGTATTTCCACTAAATACCTGAGAACTAAAATATTTCAGATTGTGATTTGTTCTTAAAATGCTCTTCTTGATATTTCTTTAAATTATTGCATTCTTAGTAAGAATGCTAAATGACAAATCAGGAAAAAAAAACATCTCAAAGTGAAAACATTGTTACTGAAGACCTGAAAACTTAAATATTTTAAGTTGTGATTTGCTCTTAAAATCTTCATTTTTATATTTATTTAATTTTTTTTTTTTTAATAAGAGTGTTAATTGAAAATCAGAAAAATAAATAACATTTCAGAGTTGAAATATTGCCAATAAAGGCCTGAAAATTAAAATGTTTCCAATTGTGGTTTGATCTTAAAATACTCTTCTTTTTTCTTTTCTTTGAATCTTATTATTTTAATATGGATATTATTCAAAAAATTATAAAACAAAATCTCAGAGTTGGACTAATGCTACTAAAGAGACCTGAAAACTAAAATATTAAAATTGTGCTTTGTTTTCAAAATTCTCTTTTCTATGTTTGTTTTATTTTTTTTTATCTTAATAAGGATTTGAATTGCTAAATCAGAAAAAGAAATAATATCAAGGAGTTGAAATATTGTCACTAAAGGCCCAAAAATGAAAATATTTAAAATGTAAATTGTTTTTTTTAAATTATCTTCTTTATCTTTCTTATTGATAAGGATGTTGATTGCCAAATTAGAAAAATAAATAACATCTCAGAGTTGAAATATTGCCAATAAAGGCCTATTTTAAATTGTGATTTGTTTTTAAAATTTTCTTCTCTATATTCCTTTAAATAATTTTTTATCTTAATAAGCATTTCAATTGCCAAATCAGAAAAAGAAATAACATCATGGAGTTGAAATATTGTCACTAAAGGTCTAAAAACAAAATATTTAAAAAAATGTAAATTGTTTGTGAAATTCTCTTTATCTTTCTTTAATTTTTTTATTATTGATAAGGATGGTACTTGACAAATCAGAAAAATAATTAACATTTCAGAGTTGAAATATTTCCTGAAAACTAAATTATTTAAAATTGTGATTTGTTCTTAAAATGATCTCCTCTATATTTCTTGAAAAATCAGAAAAAGAAATTGCATCATGAAGTTGAAATATTGTCAAAAAGTCTCTAAAAACTAAACTATTTTAAAAAATGTAAATTGTTTCTAAAATTCAATCTTTCTTTGAAATTATTATTGATAAGAATGGTAAATGACAGATCAGAAGAATAAATAATATCTCAGAATCTTAAAAAGGATTTTAATTGCCAAATCAGAAAAAAAAATAACATCATGGAGTTTTAAATTTAAAGGCCTAAAAACGAAAATATTTTAAAAATGTAAATTTTTCTAAAATTCACTTTATCTTTCTTTGATTTTTTTATTATTATTGATAAGAATGGTAAATGACAGATCAGAAAAATAAATAGCATCTCAGAGTTGAAATATTGCCACTAAAGTCCTGAAAACTAAATATTTCCAATCGTGTTCTTTTTTTTAGAAACAATTGAGTACTGTCCATGATACTTGTTTTATTTGCACTACCATACAATTTTCAGGACAAGCTGTCCCCTTCTTCAAGGTCCAAGCAGTACTACGTCTCAAAGTTTTAGCAGAATGTTAAAAGAAACAATCTCTGAGAGAAAAAAATAAATAAAAAATAAACAAAAATAAACAAAAAAATGTACACAGCAATGGTTATAAAACTAGGATTAGACTAGAGATAAGACAGTAAAAGCAAAGACTGACATCAAGCAAGATGGAAGATACTGTTTTTTTTCTTTAAATTCTTTTTTTCATTCTTTCAATGTTTATTATCTTAATATGGATAATAATTGACCATACATACAATTTTAAGTCTCAGAGCTGAAATATTGCCACTAAAGACCTGGAAACCAAAATATTTAAAATGTGATTTGCTCTTAAAATTTTCATCTCTATATTTCTTTAAATTTTTTTCATCATATTAAGGATACTAATTGAAAATCATATAAAGAAATAACATCACTTAACATTGTCACTAAAAGTCTATAAACTAAAATATTGTAAAATTGTAAATTGATATTAAAATTCTCTTCATTATCTTTCTTTGAATTTTTATTATTTTGTTAAGGTTGGTAATTTACAAATCAGAAAAAGAAATGACATCTCAGAGTTGAAATATTGTCACTAAAGGTCTGAAAACTAAAATATTTCCAAGTGGGGTTTGTTTCTAAAATTCTCTTCTTTTTCTTTCTTTGAATTTTTTTTATCTTAATATGGATATTAATTGACAAATCATAAGAAAAAATCATTTTTCAAATATTGCCAATAAAGGCCTGAAAACCAAAATCTTTAAATCTATTATTTGTTTTTAAAATTCTCTTCTCTCTCTCTATATATATTTTTTTAAATAAGGATTTTAATTGACATATCAGAAAAAGAAATAAAATCATGAGGTTGAAATATTGTCACTAAAGGCCTAAAAACTAAAATATTTTAAAAATGTAAATTGTTTCTAAAATTCACTTTATCTCTCTTTGAGTTTTTATTATTATTGATAAAAATAAAAAAACTAAATTTTTTTAAAATGTAAAGTGTTCTTAAAATTTTCTTCTTTATCTTTCTATGAATTTGTATTATTATTGATAGAGTTGGTACGTTACAAATCAGAAAAAACTAATAACATCTCAGAGTTGAAATACTGTCACTAAAGGCCTAATAATGAAAAAAACAATCATATTGTGAAGTGAAAAATGCTGCGCTACATGAAACAATGGCACAATCCTCATATAACAAAAAACAAAAAAGTAAAAAAAAAAAAAAATAGATATATAAATTTAAAATAAGTGGAAAAAATTATTAATATTGAAATAAAAATAAAAAAAAAAAATATATATATATATACATTAACAATCATATATACCGTATAAGACATACATCCTCCACCATATATCTGCTCACCTCACGCAGTGTGACCGCACATTGTACAATGTTACGATCTAGCTGCACTTTTGTTCCCATATGGACTCAGAAGATCAGCTTGCTGAATGAAGACTCCAAAGTGAGCTCCCTCCTGATAAACATCTGGGTATCGGCTGTATTCCTCATTAAAAATAACTCACTTTAGAGCTTTATCCTTTTAAACTTTTAATTCATCAATTAAAACATATGAAATACGTTCCGGAGGTGTACTTTGCACCATGTATGATGAACATCCAGTGATGTACTGATTAGACACTAGATGGCAGTATCATCTCAGCAGCAGAGTCCTGCACATGCTAAAGCAGACACCATCCTTAATGCAAGGCACAGCACGGGGCCACTTAATGAATGCTATTGCCTGCTGTAATGTCATATCAAGAGCCGTTAGTAGAGTACTACAAGCCGCTATCCCGATGAAATGGCAACGTCATGACGTCATCAGCACACTCCTCCCCTGAGCATGTAATCTTAATAAGGATTGTAATTGACAAATCAGAAAAAGAAATAACATCATAGAGTTGAAATATTGCCACTAAAGGCCTAAAAACTAAAATATTTTTAAAAATGTAAATTGTTCTTAAAATTCTCTTCTTATCTTTCTTTGAATTTTTATTATTATTGATAAGGTTGGTAAGTTACAAATCAGAAAAATAAATGACATCTCAGAGTTGAAATATTATCACTAAAGGTCTAAAAACTGAAATATACTATATCCGCTCTCCCCGGACCCCGCATTCACTATATCCGCTCTCCCCGGACCCCGCATTCACTATATCTGCTCTCCCCGGACCCCGCATTCACTATATCCCCTCTCCCCGGACCCCGCATTCACTATATCCACTCTCCCCGGACCCCGCATTCCCTATATCCGCTCTCCCCGGACCCTGCATTCACTATATCCGCTCTCCCCGGACCCCGCATACACTATATCCGCTCTCCCCGGACCCCGCATTCACTATATCCGCTCCCCCCGGGCCCGCATTCACTATATCTGCTCTCCCCGGACCCCGCATTCACTATATCTGCTCTCCCTGGACCCCGCATTCACTATATCCACTCTCCCCGGGCCCGCATTCACTATATCTGCTCTCCCCGGACCCCGCATTCACTATATCCACTCTCCCCCGGACCCTGCATTCACTATATCCAGTCTCCCCGGACCCCGCATTCACTGTATCCGCTCTCCCCGGACCCTGCATTCAATAAATCTGGTCTCCCCGGACCCCGCATTCACTATATCTGCTCTCCCCGGACCCCACATTCACTATATCCGCTCTCCCCGGACCTCACATTCACTAAATCTGGTCTCCCCGGACCCCGCATTCACTATATCCGCTCTCCCTGGACCCCGCATTCACTATATCCGCTCTCCCCTGGACCCCGCATTCACTATATCCGCTCTCCCCGGACCCCGCATTCACTATATCTGCTCTCCACGGACCCCGCATTCACTATATCCGCTCTTCCCGGACCCTGCATTCACTACATCCGCTCTCCCCGGACTCCACATTCACTATATCTGGTCTCCCCAGACCCCGCATTCACTTTATCCACTCTCCCCGGAACCCGCATTCACTATATCTGGTCTCCCCAGACTCTGCATCCACTATATCCGCTCTCCCCGGACCCCGCATTCACTATATCCGCTCTCCCCGGACCCTGCTTTCACTATATCCGCTCTCCCGGACCCCGCTTTCACTATATCCGCTCTCCCCGGACCCCACATTCACTATATCCGCTCTCCCCGGACCCCGCATTCACTATATCCGTTCTCCCCGGACCCCGCATTCACTATATCCGCTCTCCCCGGACCCCGCATTAACTATATCTGGTCTCCCCGGACCCTGCATTCACTATATCCGCTCTCCCCGGACCCTGCATTCACTATATCCGCTCTCCTCGGACGCTGCATTCACTATATCTGGTCTCCCTGGACCCTGTATTTACTATATCTGCTCTCCCCGGACCCTGCATTTACTATATCCGCTCTCCCAAGACCCCGCATTCACTATATCCGCTCTCCACGGATCCCCCATTCACTATATCCGCTCTCCACGGATCCCCCATTCACTATATCTGCTCTCCCCGGACCCCGCATTCACTATATCCGCTCTCCCCGGACCCTGCTTTCACTATATCCGCTCTCCCCGGACCCCGCTTTCACTATATCCGCTCTCCCCGGACCCCACATTCACTATATCCGCTCTCCCCGGACCCCGCATTCACTATATCCGTTCTCCCCGGACCCCGCATTCACTATATCCGCTCTCCCCGGACCCCGCATTAACTATATCTGGTCTCCCCGGACCCTGCATTCACTATATCCGCTCTCCCCGGACCCCGCATTAACTATATCTGGTCTCCCCGGACCCTGCATTCACTATATCCGCTCTCCCGGACCCCGCATTCACTATATCCGCTCTCCCCGGACCCTGCATTCACTATATCCGCTCTCCCCGGACGCTGCATTCACTATATCTGGTCTCCCTGGACCCAGCATTCACTATATTATCACTCCCCGGACCCCGCATTCACTATATCATCTCTCCCCGGACCCCGCATTCACTATATCCGCTCTCCCCGGACCCCGCATTCAGTACATCTGCTCTCCCCGGACCCCGCATTCACTATATCCGCTGTCCCCGGACACTGCATTCACTATATCTGCTCTCCCAGGACCCCGCATTCACTATATCCGCTCTCCCCGGACCCCGCATTCACTATATCCGCTCTCCCCGGACCCCGCATTCACTATATCTGGTCTCCCCGGACCCCAAATTCACTATATCTGGTCTCCCCGGACCCCGCATTCACTATAACTGGTCTCCCACAGTAAACGGAATATGGAAATGTAATTATTTTAGTAAATATAAACTGCTAAATACCTTTTCTCACCAGCAGTATAGAGTAGTCTTGTGACTTCTATCAGTGTCCAGCAGAGCACTGGTTAATGCTTGTAGGAGGAGTTTTCATTCCCCTCTAACTGTCCTATGATACTGCAGGACCCCTGACCCTCTTTCTGGACAGTGCTGATTGGCCTTGTGCTGATCACATGCATCTTCCTAAAGAAAAAAAAAAACTCTCTAGCCATACACACCAAACTGAGCATGCACAGAGTGATTCCTGGAGCTTTGTACTATCAGCAGATGGATTGGGGACAGTATAAGAAGAAGAGAAGACAGGATCAAACAGCTTTTTTACACAATGCAGATAATTAACCCTTAGGTTCCACAGTGAGTATAACAAGCATGCTTTACTGCATCTACAGACTGATTGTACTGTTGTGTGTTTAGTAACACTTTAATGTGATGTTTTATTTAATCTCCTTGTAGCATGAAATAAACACATTAAAATTAAAAGAAAAGTGTAATATACTAAAGTCAGCCATCCATGGATGGAATCTCAGCTGGACTGGCCAAGATTTGACCCATCTATGGGCAGGCTGGTTGTATCCAAGTTGATCCATTGATTGACTTCAGTACAGCCAGCCTGTTGGATTTTGCACATGCGATTTTGGCCAGTGGCTATAGCCTCTGGTGAGCAGCAGTGAGCCTTGTGTCCTGCCAGCCAGGAAAGCTCCCCACCAGCAGAACACAATATATAAATTGGACTACATCTAAGAAACTAAAGCTGAGGCAGTCTAGCCAATGCAGTTTTCTGAATGAGCGCCCAAAATATCCCCAAGAAGAGGTCTCAAAAGGAAGGCACCAGAAGAAAAACAAATATTGGGTTGTGTTAGGTGTGAATATCCGGGGAGCTCATCTTCTACTTTCATTGCCTATCTGGTGCTAAAAGATTAATATATTGAAGATCTATTCAAAGAGCTAAACTGTGAAGAAAAGGTGACATAATGGTCAAACTTCGCTTACAATACAGAAAAGGTAATTTACTGAAAATATTTAACTTATTTACCTCGAAGTCTCAAGGAGTGTTCGGTTATTTTGTTAATAATGCTTCGGGCGACAACAAAAACATTTTTTGAGTAGCAAACATGGCAAAGTATAAGGGAAGTCAACATGTAATATGATAAGGAATGCACCGAGAGGCATTGTTGTGTTTTTCCCTTTTGAGGGGCAACAAAGCAGACATTGTACTTGTGAAAGAATAATTGTTGGGAGAAGTTTGTGTTCATGAAGAATCGATACAGAAAGGAGATTCTACAATGAGAAGCTGGATGTCTCTTCCTTCGGGTCCGGCTGTGTGCTCCCCATGACAGCTGATGTGATTAAACCTGGGTGGGAGGGTTAAGGTGGTCTATGGCATAGCGGCTCATGGTGGGGATTAGAAATGTATGAAGGGTCTAGTTCCATTGCTTGCCTAGAAAAAGAAAATTGGAACCCAGCAAGGGAGGTTCAGATCCTGTACATTTAAATATTCATGAATGTGAAAGTGATCTCAAATACATAAATGTACCAATAAAATGTCAATAACACCACATAATTGAAATAGTCCATTAACACCGTGTGTTGAAGTATAAATAAAACATTCCCTTTAGTTCCACCCAAAAAAAGATCTTGTTTGGAATCCGGCCACCAGTGAATCCGGCCACCACGTGACACACACAGCCTCCTACCAGATCAGAACATTCCAAATTATAGGTGCTTTGTGAAAGTTCAGAGGTGCGTGGGCCTTCTACTAATGGAGCATCCAACTACAGGGAACCACAGGGCACAACAAGAGGAAACTCAACTGTATACCCTCTTTCCCTCCAATGATGACAATCCGGCAAAGAAACAGACGACAGCCTCCAATAGTTTAAAACTTGGTTTACTTTAACCCCAGAAGTCCTTCATCAGTGGCCTATATCTCTATACACTAATTATCACAAAATAATTACCAACCAAAGAGATTTTTGAAGGGCTTTCTGCTTGTTAAGTCATATGTTTTATTAATAATCATTTATTATAAAACTATGTTCAAACTTGTTCTACAAAACCTGCTGCATTGAATGAAAACTTTGACATTTATTATGTTTAGCTATGTTCATAGCCATGCTTAGTTATAATAGTCCCAAAGGCAGTTCTTGTCCTCTGATTGCACTTGCTGCAGAGGCGGATATTGCACTCGCTGCAGAGGCGGATATTGCACTCGCTGCAGAGGCGGATATTTGCACTTGCTGCAGAGGCGGATATTGTACTTGCTACAGAGGCGGATATTGCACTCGCTGCAGAGGCGGACATTGCACTCGCTGCAGAGGCAGATATTGCACTTGCTGCAGAGGCGGATATTGCACTTGCTGCAGAGGCGGACATTGCACTCGCTGCAGAGGCAGATATTGCACTTGCTGCAGAGGCGGATATTGCACTTGCGGCAGAGGTGAATATTGCACTCGCTGCAAAGTGGGTTGGTATATCCTATACCACAGTGTCTGCGGCGTCCTCTACTTGTTTTTTGTAGGGAAAGTACCATACATGTCCTTGCAAATGTCTTTTGGTGGATGGACAGTTGACCTTTTGTCTCCGGTGCCCTTTGAAGGACTCCCTTTCTCTGTGGATGGTCTCTTCCTGTTATCTAAGGGGTCCTGTCTGTGGAATTGAGCTCCCATGGATTAAACCTGGTCACCCTCTCTTTGGTTTAATGACAGTTGTGCCGACTAGGATAAGAGAGGATGCTAACTGGGCTTGGAACAGCCTCCTGTTTAGTATCTTTTTCTTGGGAGCATTCCGTGCTTTTCAGTCCTGTTTGTACAGCAGCCAGGCATTGATCACAGCTAGGATGATGGTGTGCCAGAAGATGTAAATGTACCAGCAGCAGGAATTCAAAGGAAACATAATTTGCTGCACCAACATATCCACACCACCCATGAATTTGTTGTAGACACCCACAATGTAAGACCTTTGAACCTCAACATATCTTTAGGTGGCTTTGTTCCATTGTTGAATCTTCTCCACCAGTTCTGGCCCAGCAAAGGATGACGACAGTGTGATCTCCCTGTTTTCATACCATTTCACTGCACAGATGTTGTCACTCACCTCCACTCTGACATCAAAGCTTCCTTTGCCCTTTTTCTTTAGACTTTCCCCACCATCAAGGTTACAGTTGGAAAGGCGTACCTGCCTGGCTGTTCTAGTGTAATGAATTCCTGGTCAAGCAGCTTGGCACTCAGTGGGACTCTAGTGAAATAGTTGTCTGTATAGATCTGGTGTACCGGGCCCATTTGAATAAATGGAAAATGCTTTGCATGCATTTCTGATGATGGAAAAATGCTTTGGACAACATCTGGATATGGAGCAGTTAAAAAAAAACGCTTCTAAATGCAAGCGCTTATAAACGCGGTTAACCATGTTTCCACGCATTTACACACATTTGGCGTTTGAAATGCCGGTAAAATCTACTCCTGAACGCAAGTTTGGTGCGTTCAAAAAAACAACTGTAAACTCAACTGCCTATAAAAGACAATGTGTACAAGGACACATAGGAAAGCTTTAGGGAGGGTTCAGGGGCTGCTGAAAAAAATGCAGAAAAGCTAATGAACATGAGTTTATCAGCTGAAGTGTACATGAACCCTAACAAACAAAAGACAAACAAATGAAACCAGCGCTCAAATCTTCATGCAGACCAGGAAATAGAAAATGCCAAACGAAGAGGTGCTGC